ACCTTCAGAGTTTTGATATAATGGTTAACGAGTTTAATATGGTATTCTGATATGTGAGTCCAGACTTCGATCTATAAAAAGAGGGCTTGACCTATGGGGACATGTTAGATTATAAAAAATATTCTCTCTCATGTAATGTTTAAGAACTTTAAGAAGTCTTAATACAATAATTGGTCTTGTGAAACAAGTGTAGTAGTTTCAATCCTTGGAGCACTTCCCTTCAAATTTTGTGTTTTTTGTTTCCTCCCCTGGGAAACAAATAACATCACGAACGGGTCAGATCCAAGTCTAAATCCACACCCACATGAATGCAGGTTGGATTCGGGTCCTCCCCAAATCCAAGAGTGCCAAACCCATCTAATTTGCCATCTTCTAGTAATGTAATGAGAGAAAAAATTAGTGGAATCCGACTACTAAACTTAATATTTCAAATGCGTCCATAATCTTCTATCAAAACAAACTTTGTGACTTGTGTGACCTTAACATTTACTTAGAACAAACCAAACATACAAGTTTGAAACTCACGTACGCAAGTTACGTCCAAAAAAAACTGCACTACTTTTCTTTCATACAAATATCAATTTACGTGACTTTGATGTTGTTGTTCATATTTTACTAGACTCAACAAAAGTGAACATTTACTTGGATCATTGACCCATAAGGCTACAAGCAGAGACGTCGTTGAGGCGGTTCTTACGGTTCCACGGAACAGGGCCCCCCACTTGGGGTGCCCCCACTCCTCTCTTCCAATCCACTCCTCTCTTCCTCTGCTCGCCTGATCAGCTCCCCCCTCACCGTCATGCCCTCGCCGATCGCTCGAGCCTCGACCACCGCGCCTCCGCCCCAGCCAATCGCCACCGGTCTCCTCTCCCTCGTCACACCTCCTCATCCCGCCGCCTCGCCTTCCTCCTCCTCCCCTGCTCCCACTTCTTAGTATCCAGACCCGCAACCACCTCTAGCTCTCTTCCCCGCCGACACAAACCGCCCTCCAAGGCCTCCTCTCCCTTTCCTCCGCCACCTTCTCCCTGCACCGTGTCCATCGCCCCCTATCCTCCCAAGTTTTAGAACAACGCGGTCCCCAAATTGTCACCACGCCTCTGGGCTATAGTCTTTGTTCGATACATACATCGGTTCAATCGAGGCATACACGTCATGTTGCCCCCCCCCCCCGCCCCCCCCCCCCCTTTTTTCTTTTGGGCTGCCTGTAACAGACTGATATGAATCACTGTGACCTACCTTAATCCACTACCTAATTTTTTTAAAGGCTGTAAGCCTGTAAAGCGCTTCATCTCCTTTTTTTCTTTATCCTCGTACTATTACTATCAATTCGAGAGAAGATTTGTGAGGTATTAACAGCATCTAATTAAATAATTAAATTTAGGATTGAGATGTATGGATAGGATCTACATAGATAAGGAGATTATTGCCTCTTCTATTTGGATCTTCTCTATTGTAGCTTTCGCTGCAAAATATCTGCAGTACAAGATGACTGCGGTTTATTTCGATTGTTAACTATCTCTACTTGTAGCTTGTTCGTTGTTTCTTTTTCCGTTCAAAATATTATATGAATACACTTCACAAAATGATTTGTGTATCGACAGCGTAGCACACATCCAAAACTTCTGGTCTAGGTATGTTGAAGATGTGTAGAAACGTAATGGCGTAATGCATGTCATGTTAGTAACACATCAGTCAACATTATTAATGGAAACATACATAAACCTCTTTTTACTTGATTTAAGTATCTTAGGGATGAAAATGATTATGATTGAAAACATAATTTTTAGCATCACATTATAATGGAAGTAGATCTTAATTGTGATTATAAATTGATGTTTGCCTTTGGGCTCCCATATTTTTTTCTAGTGCAGTCTCCAAAAGCCTAAACTAAAGTAAATGGGTCTGAAGGATCAAAGCATATGTGAAGAAGCATTAAATACTTTCCAGTTATGGTGTTTCTCTAAAGTTTCTTATGTAAGGCGCATTGATAATGGTGTTGCTCATTTCCTAACTAAGTCGGTTGACTGTTTGTCCGCTTGTTTTTGGTCTATTTCTGTCCCTTTGTTTTTGAGACAGTGTTGTTGAGGACTTGACTGGTTAGGTTACCATACCTGTCTTTAAAAAAAAAAAACTTTCCAGTTATCTCCATTATCATAGATAGATGTGTAATATATTTTTTTGGATAACTTAACATTGAATCGAACCTATGCTAGCTATATTGAATGCTTCTTACAATGTGCTTTTAAGAGTACAGTATAGAAAAGTAAAATAATGATTGTACTATAAGTTCTAACTTGCTCTTGTGCTACAACTAGGAACTGTATGAGGTCATTTCCTAGAAGTTGTCAAGAAAAATAATGAATCATCATGGACCTTTTTTTTTTTTGAGTAAAAAAAGTAGTAAATTTTTTTTAGTAGGCATCATTATTCTATAGAAAAACCAATTAACAATAGAGATGTACTCTCTTTTCTACACACTTGTACACTAAATATACCTCATGATTCATGAATAAAGCTTCCAAGCTCCTGTTAGCTGACCACAATTTGATGCTCCTGTTAGCTAGGTACCAAATGGAGTCCATGTGTACATGGGCAAAAGATTTGTAAAGCAAATACATATCTAACTAAGTAATAGTCTTTGGGATTTGGTAGAGGATTTATATATATATACTTTTCTTTTGTTGTGTAAAGTCAAGTCTCATACAGCAGAATCCTTAATTCAAAGATAGTTTTTTTCTTGGAGACGATCATAAGAACTCTTGAAGCTTAATGGATGCTTTATGATGAAACTACCTTCAACACTAAGCCAATCATCGTCCCCATCATCTACACCAACCTCCTGTCCTCTTTCTCTAAAATCCAACTTAAAAGAAACATGATCTCAACTTTTCGAATTGCTCCGGACGAGAGAATATAGAGCACGCATAAATTTTTTTTGAAAATTTATAAAAATACTATATGGCCGAATCCCTATACTTTCCTACTCTGCACTAAACGCCAAATTTCATTTTCAGTAAATTACCCTAAAAAATTTCTAAAATCACACTAAACACACGATAATTATTGGAATTGCAAAAAACTTTCACAAAAACATCCCATGACATCGTTAATTCGCATTTAGGATCTAAAATGTGTCACCAATGCAAAGTATGGACTCACTCCATCACATGGGGGTTATTTGTAAAATGTAAAAACTTATTGGTGTTTTTATGTAGTTCCAATAGTTATCGGGGGGTTTAATGCAATTTTAGAATTTATTGGCGATTTACTACAAAACCAAAAGTTCCTAGGGGTTTAGTATGCTCAAACTTCTAAGTAAGACGAATACAATTTTCTTGTAAAACTCAAAAGTACAAGGATTAAGGGTATTCTGGTTATAAATGAAAAGGTAACTAACACCTAAAAATTAACGAATGGTTTACAACGGATGTTTGGTACAAGGACAAAGTTGAGAACAAAATAAAGTACAGCGACCAATTTGAGTTTGACGGCCCAGTAGGGACCAAGTTGATCTTCCAGACCTAATTGAATAACAATA